CTTTTATGCTCTAACTTTTGCCAAGGCCGCCTTTCTGGGTTTTCAACCTTACGAGCTTTGTTCTTTTTTTCTTTTCATTTCTTTTCATTTTCTTTTCTTCAATCTTTTCAAGGTCTTTTTATTTCTTTTTCTTCATTTTTTTTGCATTTTTCTTTTCTTCTTTTTTTTTTCTTGCTCTAACTTTTGCCTGGGTTTCCCTTCCGGGTTTTCGCCCCAGCGAGCCTCTCAAAGGGTAAAAATGTAACAAGTCCATGCCAAATGGTTTTGAGATCCTGAAATTATCTGAATCCAGGAGAATGGCTGCTGTTTTGCTTTGTAAGCTTCTTTTGATGATGTCTAATCTTCTTGATCTGACTTTCTTGCCTCTTGTTCGAGGGCTGCTTTGAATCTGGCCACACAGGCCTCATATCATAGTTGACCGTTGAACCTTCTGAATTCAAGTTCAAGGTTTGGAAGCGAAGGGGTTGAGTCTCAAGAGGTACACACGGAATGTAGTCTCGGAACTTACTGAAGTTGAAACAAACTCAGATACCCAACATTTCCTCTTTTCTTTTGCTTTGTAGTCTGGAACCCATATAGCTTCAAATAGGTCCTAGTTTTGCTGTTCTGACATGACCTGGGTTGAACCCTGCAGTTTTCGAAAGAACAAATCTCGTTTTGCACATATGTGGAGAACGGCACGGCACTCGGAGCACAAAACGATTTTATTTTTGAATTGATAAATGAGCTTTTGACCGGGTATCGAGCCTACGACTGAACACAGCAAGACAACTCAACAAGGAAATAAAAGGCACGCAACCTAGACACATCGAGTAACACTTGAAACGACTCAAAACAAGAAACGAGACAAAACAAAAAGACACGACACTCAGACGTGCACCGGGAGCCTGTTTCACCGGGTAGTGTTCCCCACCCTTTCTCATTTGTGGTTCTCTCATCACTCGGCCCTCAAGCTCTGTTTTTCTGAAAAAGCCCTCTTCTCACTTTTCCTCTCATCGCACATCTCTCTATTCTTCAATCTCTCATTTTTCATCCCTCCCCTGGGTGGTTTGATGGATAAACAGCAAACTGTGGGCTCGTGTCCAACATAAATCAGCTCGCGGCTATTTCCTTTGGTGACATCTGTCGATGCGCCGGATGAGGGAATGGAGCATCTCGACCCATTCCAATTCGTGCTTCGCACTCAGCTTGATACCTCGCTGCTTGGAGGATGAGAGAGTTTTCAGCCATTTTGCTGTTAACTTCGGTTGTGCCCTATTCTGGCAAGTAGAGTGCCCTTCTTAGCAAGTATGTTGACAAAGGGGAAAAGGCAGAACACCTGACTCAACTGTGCCCCTAGTTCATCATTTTGACCATTCTTGTTTTAGTTTTCTCCTAAAAAAATTTTTGACCAAAATGAGAGTTAGATTAACGCGCTTGTTCGATTTTCTGATTTAAAATCATGCAAGTCAGGCCATGAGCACTGAAAATTTTCCTCTTTTGGGTCCAAGAAATGGTCCAGTTTTGAAAAATGGAGTATTTTTTGAGAAGATTAGTCAACCTCAGTAAAAATTCTCAAAAACTATTTTTGCAAACAACCACTGCTGAATGAGCACGGAACCTACCCTTGAGACGCACAACCTCAGATCCATAGCAATGGAAAATTGCCCCTTGCTCGAAGAGAGCTGCATGGCAACGAAAAGTTGCCCCTTGTTTGCACGGCACCGCAGCGCATTGAATGGCAACGGAAAGTTGCCCCTTGTCTGAATGGCACCGTAGTGTATTGTAATCAGTCCTCAGAGCGACGATTGCAACCGAACTCCCGGATACAGAAAAGACAAAGATGACTAGAACCATTACATGGACACAGTTGAATTTGGAGTGTTTTATGGCTGGACTTCAGAATGAAGTTGCCTACGTATCCCAAACATGGGAATCAAGCCTTACGTAGTTCGGGGTTAAGGTACACTCGGGTATTAACCTCTCCTTTTTAGGCTCTAACTTTTGCCAAGGCGCCCGTTGCAGGTTTTCGACCTTGCGAGCTTTGTTTTTCTTTTCTTTTCAATTTTTTTCATTTCATTTCTTTTTTGATTTTCTTTTTTTTTGTTCTTTTCTTTGCATTTTTTTCTTTCTTTTTCT